GATCCAAACTTTCAAACCAACATCAAGGCCATGATGCAATACTTGAAGAAATTAACAAATCATTGAAATCATTAATTCCTCCAATACCTTCACAACGGCATTGGGAAATTGCGGCACGTAATTGTACTAATTTTTCAAAATTGCGTACTAACATTTTTAATATAATAGGATACTCCGAAAGTGAAGCCAATGGGCCTCGTACACGTCCCAGTTTTACTGCTGAATCACGTCGATTCCGGGTTCAGATAAGAAAAGCTCAATTTGTAAATCCAAATGCTGATAATCGTATTTTTCAAAATCTAGGTGGAGAATTGACATTAAGCGAACAAATGATAAGATTTAGTGAAATCGCGAGTACGAAAAGAAATGAATTTATTAAAGCAACATTAATTAAAAAAACACCTTTAGGCATTTGGCGTCCAATTCCCATAACATGTGATGAGGCAGAACTTCAAAAAAGCGAAGGCTCTTTAAAAAAATCGGAAATTTTATCTATTATTACCTCTTTAATTCCTTCTTTAGGTGATTCAGATCGATCGTGCTTTCGTGGTTTATCAAATAAGTCCCGTGAAGAATTAGTAAATATTCTTCAAGAAGTCAAAAATATATTAGCTGAAAATAACATTAGTGTTAGCGAAGAATAATTGATAGGATAATTTTTCTTGGAAAATTGTTATTTATTACAGTATTATCAATAGTTACTATTTTATTTATGTATAAAAGTGCAATAAATTTTAATATATTGTAGTATTTATTAATAATTAATTAATCGTTTAATGTTTTAATATATTTGCTACAATTAAGTAATTATGAAGTAATTCATCACGACAATTAATGCGAAAAGATAAAGTAATATTTTAATAGATTTGTTTGGTGCCGTAAATTTTAACATAACATCACTCACAAATTTGGTTCAAGAATTTTCTGACAAAGTCGAATTTTATTAGATATTTTCGAATTAAAGAAAGACAATTTTAAATGAATTTTTAAAGCTAAGTGTTCATCGAATCATTTAGGAGGTAAAAAAGGATTTTGAACGATTTC